TTTGTACTTCTCAAAGGATATTCACTTGACAGTGATGGCATATGCTGCAGCATGATCACAACACCCAAATATTTTAAAGCAAGCTAAGTTCCTTTAAACAGCAATTGTAGACAAAGAATGCAATATTATAAAATATAGAAAAAATAATAAAATAAATTTTAGAGGGATGATGTTAATAGAGTTCTAAAGTGCCCTTTTAGACTCATAAGATGAATAAGAACAGGATTGTACTGTCCCATGCAGATTTGAATCATGTTTTCCTTGTTTCCTTTTTGAAATACAATTACCATGAGCAAACTATATAGCACATATTCGAGTGCATAACAAGTTTTTTTTTTTTTGTTTTTTTTTTGTCTTGGTTTGTTTTTCAACACAGGGCTTCTCTGTGTAGACCTGATGGTCCTAGAATTAACTCTGTAGATCAGGCTGGCTTCAAACTCAGAGAAGTCTTCTGCCTCTGCCTCCCAAGTGCTGGGATTAAAGGTGTACACCACCACTGGCTGGCTAACAGTTTTGAAACACATATCCACATTGTAAAAATACAACATCACCAAGTAATAAAGCACGTGTTGCTTACACAAATGGTGTTGTTACTATCCTGTGCCCCCCCTCCGGTGATGAGTTCACATCCCCAGAGACCTTGAAGTACTCAGCTTGTCCTTAAATATAATCGTTATGCCTCCTTGTCATTCTCCAGAACATGTTCATTGTATAATTGTAGACCTTTAGACTGACACCTCAGGTTTTCTGCTTCCCTCTCCTAATGATAATCATCTTTCTACTATGTTCCCGTGAGCTGAAGGCTCTATTCTAAAATGTGATCATGCAGGGTTCATCATCTTGTGTCTCACAGATTTCATTTAAGACAGTATTCTCCATCTCTATCCAAATTATCACAAATATCAGGTTTTCCTTAGTTAGGGTGAATACTATTCAACTATACATACTTATCATATGCCACTTTTCCATTTAAAGACACAAAAATACTTTCTTGAAACTTTACCTAAAATCTTATGAGAACCCTCAAATCTTGATTTAAAGACTCATAGAAAAACATTTTTGCTTTTTGGTTTTGGTCTTTTTTGTTGTTGTTTGTTTTGGTTTGAGTTATTTTGTTTCATTGCTTTGTGAAACATTTAGCTGAAGCTGAGTCAGACCCAGGGTCCACATACCTCAACCTCCCAAATGCTGGGGTTTTAGGCATCAACTGAGACAACCACACAGAAAAATAACACTCATTTTAAAATTAGTCTTGAGCAAGGAATATGACTCAGCAGGAAAGTTTGATGACAAGAGGTGAAGCTTCAGAACACATGGTAGAAAGAGATAACACGTTTCCAAAGATTGTCCTTCTAACTTCTACACAGGCATAATGGTATTTATGTACACGTGTATACACACACGTAATCATACATGCACACACACACACACACACACACACTCCCATTCACATACCATTTTTTAATTAAAATTATTTCCTGTAAAACAGGCAAGATTACATCAAGAACCTACAAATATACTTTCTGGTAGACTTATTTTTATCATATTTCTGCAGTGTTACACAAACGTGGACATAAAGACTTTTTCTTACTCTTTTATTGTGTTTTAGTAATTATTGTTCTTTTATTTACATATTCTTCTGTTAATTTGTGATATATTAGAATATGTAGTTGTGATTTCCTGTATTTTGATGCTAACATCAATATAAAATTATAATCTAATTTAGGTATGTGCCTATTTATAAATAGAAGTGTAGTTAAACCTCTTACAATGAAAATGTTAAAATAATGGGTTATTTTTATTTACACTCATACTAACAGGATGATTCTTTTGACATTAATAAGAACTATGAAGTTTAAGACCACACCTTGTATCAAAGCTATTCACTTTCAAAAGATGGTTTAGTTTTCAATATTTTTGTCTTTCCTTAATTTTTTTAGTAGAGTATCGAGTTTATTGCCAACAGACAAACACTCGGATGAAATTAGCCGTCCCCATTTAAGTGTAGACTGCAGCAAGACGAGCAATGAAAATGACTCTCCTGCACTGTCTCCCAGACTGAATAAATATACATTGTACCAACCCAACAAAATTCCCCTGAAAATGAAGTGGGGAACTTCTGCTCTCTTGGTATCAGGAAGGTGGATTCTTAGCAGACAAAATTGGCTGGACTTTATATTATTAGAAACAGGGCCCCCTAGGGAAACAAATAACTTCGTAAGATGTTCTTAAGCTACTTCTCAAGAAACCTAGATAGGATTCTTGGGTAAAATAATGTTTGATTAACCTATTTTTTACCTGGACCTTACATTTGAAAAAAATGGCATAACTTCAAGTAATATATCAATTAATTTGATTTAGAGAATATATAGATAATTTATTAATTTTATCTAAAACCAAATAAAAGAAACAGGAAAATTATTGACAAATTGTCCACATAAAATTTCTATAACAATGTCTAAAATACTTTTAAATCCATGAGTACATGAAGAGTGAAGGAAAAAGAATTATTAGGATAAGGAGTTTTCAAAATTGCATCATAAATCTAAAAAATTTTAAAGCATTAATCTCTCAATAATTTCTAAAATGTGTCAAGCTTAGTAAGTCTTTGTAATTAATTTTTTTCAAAATTCAATAAAGATGTAAATGTAATGTTTAATATGTGTTTTAATGTAATGATGAGGCTAAATTACTATAAATTATATAGCAGAATGAATCATAGAGTATTTCATTGTCTTGCCAGCTTTTCTTTCTTGAAACAATATTTTTTTGCAATGATGCTATACAATGGTGAATATCATACTTAATGGTGATAGATCATAGAACAGAAATTACTGAAGAAGTTTAAGGATCCTATTCTACATTTCATTATAGAATAAAAGTCAGTATCCTAGTAAATTGTTTGAGTGATTTTTTAAATTAATTTTGAACTCATAAAGTTAATAAAGTAGTTTTTAATTTTGTGATGGCTTTTCTTGGTTGTCTTCTTTACTACATCTTGAATTAACTAATACCCCAAAATGAATGGCACATCTGTGAGGGATATTTGTTTGAAGTAGGAAGAGCCACTTCTAATCTAGATCTTTGAGGTAGGAAGTCATGTCTTTAATCCAGATCTTACGAGCTGGTCAAAGAAATGCCTTTAACTCCCAGCCATTTGAGCTGGGAAAACCTATGACTAATCTGGACCACACCTTTAGCTGGAAGTCTGTGTGTGTGTGTGTGTGTGTGTGTGTGTGTGTGTGTGTGTGTGTGTGTTTATATGTATGTATATTATCACACTCATATATACATACATACATATATGTGTATATATACATATACACACACATACATTTGTGTGTGTTTATATGTATGTATATTATCACACTCATATATACACACATATATATGTATATATACATATACACACATACATATACACATACATATATGTATGTGTGTGTATATATAGTATGGATATGTATGTATGTATGTATATATACACATATATGTATGTATATATGTGTGATAATATACATACATGTAAACACACATGTATACATATATAGTATGTATAAATATGTGTGTATATATACATGTATATATATATATATACATAGATAGATAGTATGGACATGGAAGAAGAAAGCGTTTAGTCTTTGCCTGTTAACAAGTCCATTCCTTCACTGGCATTAGCTCTCTACTTGTTTGGGATTCCAGTGTATACTGTGGACCAACTGAGACATCCAACCTCTTGGACTGAGCAACTACTGGGTTCTTGGTCCTTCCATTCACAGTCGGCCATTATTGAATCAGCTGATCTCAGTCACTAAGTCATTCTACTAAGTGCCCTTTCTACATGTATAAGTTTCTGTAAGTTCTGTTACTCTAGAGAACCCTGACTAATACAAATACTAAACTTTCAGAGTACTAAAATTTATTTTTTTATCTATCTGCATGTAGTAAAATAGTAGACATAATGGGCACCCACTATAAATTAGCCTGGGTGTTTGAATTCACAGCTGCTGTTTTGTTTGAATTCATATAGCTTTATATTCGTTTTCATTGAAACAATTACTCTGCATATTTTTCTTAGTAAATTAACATAAAGCATATTATTTGTATCTTTTACTTTCAAAATATTTTTGTGATAAAATTTGGAAGGGGCTAGCTCATGATTTGATAAAATGTGATTCATACAATACAAAATTAAGCATATTGGACAAAGGATGAATCATATGTACATAGATATGTGCACATTCAGTCATACCACACACACAAACAAAACTTCAATACATGGATTTCACTCAAAGTATACTTCTCCTATAACTAATCAGTTAGTATGCAAAAATACTTCAAAATATTCTCTTTTGAAAATAATTGGTCAGAAAGACTAATTTCTAAACTTTCAATTTAAATAGTTTTGAGTCCAATTATTTATAACTGATTGTTGATGTTAACAAATATCAGAGTTAATGATTCCTTGAGACACTTTTTAAGCCCTTCAAGCACATCAGAAATCCAATTATATCTAAGTTGTTCATAGAATGTTACCTTTCAAAGTCTTCTTTGATACAAAATGGGATCTGCCATTGGAAGTCATTTTAATGAATGACTTTCCACCTAGAAAAATATGCTCACAACACTCATTAATGTCAACAGAAGAAATCAAACCTTGACATTTTACATATGAACAGCATTTATCTATTGAAGTAAGTGTGTAGACTCTTGATAACATTTCATCTGAATTTTTTCTAGCCACCAATTAATAAAACTTATAAGGTACTTTAATAAATGGAAATCATTAAGATGCATATAACAGGCAACTATATAATAATATAAGACCCATTTACCTTACAAAATATCAAATTCTTGCTTTGTTCTTAAAACTTAAAAAAGTAAGGGTAATATAACACTTGAATTATATTTTAAATTAAATATATTTCTCCTTTATTTATAATCATGAGAGATTTTATTAATTAGGCTTATTCAACTTAAGCATTGATAGAATCATTCACCTGTAAATGCATTCTGCCTTTTCCACTCTCCTCTTTCTCCCTCTCACTCCTTCATCTGTCTCTGCTTCCCACAAGTCCTTTTTTTGTTGAGCAATAGGCTCAGGTCATGAGGAATTGCTTCAGGCTGTACTTGGCAATAGCCCCTAGACATAAAGAACTGATTAATCCCAGGCTGACCTTTCAGCCCCACCTGCAGAAACAGTATTTCCAATCACCTTGCTCCTACTCAAGCTGCATGCCCACAAAAAGCTTAACTTCCTGGTACCAACCATGTACATGCATGGCCTCCAGCCCCTCTTACTGCACTAAAGCTTCATTACATGGAAAGCTCAGGGCCCCTCCCTCTTCTAATAAACCAATCACAACCTGATAACATGGTCTGACTGCTTTTCTGCCTCATTTTACTTACATTTTTCCAACGTCTACTTTTTAAATTTTTTTCTTTGCCTGTAGTTACTATCTTGTGAATCATTTAGTTAAGTTACAGTCACTCACATGTCCTTTAAATTGGGACTATCAATTGAAATCTGGTGGGTTACCAGTGAATGTATAACTTAAGACATTATGCCCACCTATTTCTGAATCTATCCTTAAGACATAGTTCAGTAGTGAAGGGTAGGGCACCCTAAAACCCTCTTCTGTTGGGGGCACAGATGTCCTTGGCTCACAGAGAAGCACTAAGAAAACCAGAAATTTTAATCACACAGGGTTATATCCTCAATGGAGGAGATACAAATCTAATACCTGCATTCTATCCAGAAAGCTGAAAGTGGATGTTCTTAGTGAATTGGTCACCTTTTTGCTATCGGTAGGGACAGAACTCAACCTAACTCCCCAAAATGATTATTCCAGATTCTTCCCTTCCTAGACCATTAGCTATCTTCAGGGCAGATGTCACATGTACTTTTTATCCTAATGACCTCTATGCTATCCATCAGAGACCACACTAGATTCTAGGCCTTTTGACTGTAGATCCCACCCTCCTGGTCACATGTACTTTGCAAAGGAGTTCCTATGTAGTCACATCTTCAGCTTTATTGTGCACCTAGAACTGGACTGATTAGACGGATTGTTGCCTGGAAACCTTTTCCCAAATTGTACTGTTTTAAATATGCCGACAATTAACTACTGTTCATTAGAGTTCCCAAAGGGAATCTGCACTGGTTTTCATTCTTATTTCTTCACACAATTGGCTTCTCTGTATGATACCTGCAGGGATGCCCTCACTCTTCTTACCTCCTCTGGCTGTTAATTCGTGTATGTCCTCATGCAAACTCAATGTGGCAGCCACAGTTGCTGAGCATTTTTGTTTTGACCCCCTTGAATTAGCATATTAACCTGGTTGGCCTCCCAGTAGGGGCAAAAAAAAACAAACAAACAAACAAACAAAAAAACTACAGACAATAGTCCCGCTTGCCAAGAACCGATAGGCAGTCTTTCCCCAGGAAGGGTTAGGGTACCATGAACCCTTCTTGCGTCCACCACGGAACGCTGGCAGCCCCGGTTGGTACAGGCCTGGTGCAGACAGCCACAGATGTCCTAAGTCCGTGATTGTAAGGTCTGTGTCACTGATAGGGTCCAGCGGCGCGGATCAGAGACTTCCTCTCTGCCAGTTAAAGGATGAAAGGGCAAGGAAAGTGTGAAGTGCCACAGGCAGCATCAGAGAAATCTCAAGCATAGCAGAGAGAATCGGCAGCTGAACAAAGGAGTTATACCACTGAGGAAACACACACACATACAGCAGACACACAGGAAAAATCCCTCTGCTGGGCAGAGGGGACATTCGGTAAGCCAGTTGCCCAGTCTTTTCTTGAGGCTGGATGTTTGAAAGCCTCTGATGAGTTTCCTTTTCCTATTTAAGGGTTGTTCAGTTTGAAGACAGATAGGATGCTGAAGGGTCCAGAACTGCTGTGTGACATGTCCTGATCCTACTTTGAACTCACTGAGCAGGTCCTTCAGCATGTACCTGTTGGTGGGAGATAAAAGCTTCCAGGCTATCATTTCAAGTTGGAGGTTGAGGAAGAATCTGGCCACTCAGAAATTTGTCACCTTTATTACCTAGCCATGGCCCCTCTACTTATCTGTCTCCATACCAGGGACTCTAACTCCTGGTCTCTCACCATGACTAGAGGTGATAAAAGGGAAAAATCAGAGGCCATCTTGAGAGATGCTTCCCCCTCCCCTCCTCCAAAGGTATTTGCTGACCAGCAGTTTTAGAAGTGACCGGAAGTTGAACTTATAAGGCTGAGACAATAAATCTATGCATCCTGGACTTGGCAAAATCAAGATATGGGTAGTAATGGGTTTAACTGACCAGAAGTTGACCTCAGAGGAGAGTAGGACTGGAACAATAAATCTGAATGTATATATCCTGGGTTCAACAAAAGCAGGACATAGGGAGTAAAAATTTATGACTCTGTAGATACCCTGAATCCTGTTAGCCATCAGTAACCTCATGCTTTTAGTTCAGCCAGTAACTTCAAAGAACTACCTCACCCTTAGCCCCCTCATCCAATCCCAAGCTGCATGTAAACCTTTCCTATATAAACCCCTTCAAGTGAGTACTCAGGTGCCATCCTCCTCCACCAGATGTGTTGGGATGTTGGATGCACTGACCAAGCCCCAGGCTTGCTTGTTTTGTTATTTAAAAGCCTCTGTGCTTGCATAGGATATTGGCTCTCTGACAGTCTTGCTTGGGGGTATTGTGGTCTGAGCATGACAGTAACATATTAAAACCTTCTCCCTATCATCTGGCTTTTACAGCCTTTCTTCCTCCTCTTCTGGGATGTTCTCTAAATCTTAGAGAACCTGAGAAAAGTGTTCTATTTAGGGTTACTAGGTCTCAACCACAAAATGGTAGTCTGGTCTCATCTCAAGCTGGACTCAGATATGGCAAACAGAAGCATTGCTGGAGGATAGACAAACGTCTGAAACCAGCATCCTCAGAAACTTGTGAAATAGGTTTCTGTTTGTCTAATTTCCTTATCTCCCTCTACCTCCAACAAATAGGGCATCTAGTTCCAAATTAGAACATACATGTAACATATCAAAGCCCCAGTGCCAGCCTTCTGGTTCTTCCAGACTATAAAACTCTTGAACCTCTACTCTAACTTCTGGGCACTTCTAGGTCACACACCTCCCTCCCACAGCTCCTCAACTCTCTTTTAACCAGCAAGGGTCTCCCTGATTCCGTTTAGCTCTGCCTCCAGAGAGATACCCTTGACAGCTTTGAACTTCCTAAAGGGCTTCCCCTCCTTTTTACAATTTTCTCTATTCTACTTATTGTGATAGGCAGCCATGGCAGCTGTGAACTACCACAAATAAACATTTCCGTCCTGTGGAGCAAGGTTCCAGTCTATTCTGAGGCTAATGGGATGGTTATCACGTAGTACTCACGCTTCTACTGCCCTAGGGGGTTCATCTCGGCTTCCACATTTGTATTGTGGTTGATGCTGTTAACAGCCATGAAGGCAATTGGTTTTCAAAATAGATTGTATATTATGATTTCATAGTATCACATCTATGTTCTTCTGAGAGTTAAAAAATAAAACTTTAAAAACATATTTAAAATGTCCAATTGTACATTATTTATCCAATTAATTATCACAATATCTAAGTGAATCATTTATCTCATGGTAAGCTTGAACTAGAAAAATTTCTGGGCGGTGGTGGCGCACGCCTTTAATCCCAGCACTGGGAGGCAGAGACAGGTGGAACTCTGTGAGTTCGAGGCCAGCCTGGACTACAGAGTGAGATCCAGGACAGGCACCAAAACTACACGGAGAAACGAAACAAACAAAAAAACGAACTG